AATGTACTAAACTTGCCACGTCAATAGTAATGACAGCAAAGACTGTTCTTTAGATCAGGCAGCAGAATCCTTCTTATGGTGAAGGAAAATAATCTCCTCTGTCTAGCCTTTATTATTGTTATATTTTCTTTTTTGAGATGGTCCTTCCTAAGAAGTATATATGTACCATTTCCCCTTCTTTCTTGGCTTGAAACCTATGTAAGTTTTTCTTACAGAGCAGAGCCAGCTCTTCTGGATCTCTAAAGAGTCAGGTTATAGAAGGCATATATTTTAGCTTATCTCAAAGTTCTGAAAGAGTTTTTGATGATCTGAGGGATAAATCAGTCAGAGATGGCAAAGAGTACCTTCATGCATTATTGTAAATAATTTATGAACTCCAGGTTTTCATGGCATGTTAAAAATTCATATGAACATTAGATTTAAAATTTAAGTATCTGACCTAGCCGAAGCACTTCTTCAGGCTTGGAATCAGGCAGATATATAGCACTATACACTGCAAGGGAGAATTGGGACTTGTGTCCATATCAGAAGATGTAATATGTAGCCAACTCTTATTGACAAAGAGTCTAAATTTGGTTCTTGGATAAACACCTTGGTCTCTCCCTCTAATCAGCCAAAGACAGACTATATCAGTAGTATATGTTCACTCTCAAACAGCCTGATTTTGCTTAACTTAAGCTAAATTTTTTTAGGCAGGTTTGGATTGGTAGCCAGTAACATCTTATTAAACTAGAAAGCACTGCTGAATCTGAGTGGTGACAGTGAAATCTGACCCTGCATTTACTCTTTGCAATCTCTCTGGTTTTGGAAGAAGTATAAAACAGTAGTCTTGCCCTTAATCATCTCTTTTAGTCAAATCACACATATTTATTGGGGCTATATTCCTCTTACTTGACCATAGTCATCTGAACATTAAGTATGTCCTCCAATTTAGTTTGTTGAATTAACCTTTTAACAGACAGTATGAGGCACCCTGGGAAGGCAAGTCATCCCACCTTTTTTAGAGTGAAACAAACTGCCTTGTGGAGCTATCTGTCTGACTGTCCCTCTGCTATCCATAGGGGAGCCTGGACTGTTAGGTAGATAAGTAGACCTGGTCAGACAGGTAGCTTTAGGTACCAAGTTAACAGAGATCAATCCATCAGAGATATCCTTTTGTTTTTGTTTTTTTGTTTGTTTTTTTTTTCATTGAGAAATAAAATATTGATCTGTAAGGTCCTACTTTTGTATAATAACAAAATATTTGCAAATAAACTACTAAAAATTCTTAAATTCTTAACAAATTAAAATTGTTAACAGTGGAAGTAAACAGACTACTCCATTCATAACTTAAAACTTTCACCAAGACGGCAAATCAGATATCTTTTGATGTGTGCTTATGGGATTTAATTTGCTAAAATCACTTCTCTGAAATTCCTGAAATGAGAAGGCTAATAAACTGAAATGCTTCAATGTTACCAAAAGGAACAGCTCTTTAAACATTGGGCTTGAGAATTTGTGTGGGCTGGAGAAAAACTCAAAGGGTTATATTTCATTGTATTTAAATTTGAAATTCTAGGGACAGAGTCTTCCAATATAGAGGTGTTATAATTTTGAAAGAACTGAGATAAAGGCAAATGAAAATATTTACAAATAAAGCCTTCTAACATAAGAGAGAGAAAGCAATAACTGATATAAATAAATGTTTATTTTTCAAATGTTCTCTGCCAGACTTTGTATGAAATATCAAATATTCAAAGATATTTAAACTAATTGTTCACCTGACTCCAGATGGTAAAGAGTTGCTCCTTGTTGTAGAAGTGAGCATAATCATCACAAGTGTGTGCATAAGTAGAAAGGAATGCACCCAGTTCTGTAATATAATTTTATAGCTCAGGGCTTGTCCTTGGCTGCATGCTGGTTTGAGGCATCTCCTGCTAAGAAGAAGCCGCTTGTGTAAGAAAAAGCTGCAGGTAGATAGAAGTATCAGATATTGCACCTTAGTTCTGAGAGAAGATGCTCTGGTTGTCACAAGGATGGCAGTTCTCTCCTTCTCAGCAGCAAGAATCAAGATTTGGTAGCTGTGGCTTCCTTTATGAAGATGTTATGAAAGCTACAGTGTTGATTAGCAGGTACTCTCCACGGGTGAAAATCTCGTCCCTGTCCTTATCTTTTGGTGTCCTAGTGACAGCCTCGAGAATGTACAGTCTGCTCTCTGGAGATTGGGGGTCTCCTATCAGGATAATGGCCACTGAGAGTGGAGAGTGTTGCATGAAGAACATGCCCACCACCGTCCAACAAGTGGTTTGTGTTTCAGACCAGTAATTTTTCCCTGAGCAAAGAAAATTCTTTCAAAACTTGCCATCTCTCCTACTCAGAGTAGACAAACAGATAACAACTGATGAAATACCATTTCCTCTTCAGAGCCCTGAAAATCCTCAGAAGTAAAACAGAAATAAACAGAAACTTCTGGAGCTTGGAGGTGTAACACAGGACCCTGTTTCCTTTTCCCTGTGTACAGTCACCTCAGACATATATGCTGCCTTCATTGGGACCAGCCCATCAGTCATTTTTGATCTAGGCCTGTACGTAGCAGAACGTACAACTTGCATCCACATTAGGGTGATCCTTTGATCTTGACAACTGTATGACCTGAATGCACACCAGCACGAGTTCTGGAAAGGTTTGTTCACATGATCTTCCTCCACAAGAGAACGGCTTTCTCACAAGACTCCTGAATAAGCTCACACATGCTCATAGAAAGATTTCAGAGACTTTAGGGTATGCTTAAAAGGTGGGACACACCAAACCTTCCTGCCATAGTGCTGAATTCAGCTGCTACACCCTGGGGTAGTGGGTCTTTTATGCTGGGTGTCTAATAAACTAATTTCCAGTCTCAGACATGAGGTTGGGGTGCAAGGGCAGAGCTAAATAGACAAGGCAGATCTGTGGGACTGCTGACTGATGCTGTACTCCTCATACTACTCACATGCTTGAAAAATGATTCAGATGCTTAGATGATGAGTACAGGGTGAGTCTGTTTAGAACAGAAAAATAGTGAAATGAACAAGTGAGACACATATACAAAGCAAAAACATTTCATTTGTAACAATACCAAACAGAAACTAGGTCACATATCATGACTCTTGGAGAAGAGCACTGAAAATTTCTGATGAATATTTGTTTCTATTACAATATGGTATACATATGCATATGGTATAAAGCAAATGGTGAAGCAATAAATGTGAACTACTAATGCTGCAGTAAAGATGGCTAGAATTGTATTAAACTCCAACAAATTACACACTTCCACAACTATGTAAAGTTAATCTGTATGTAGCGCACTGAGGAAAGCAAGTAGAATTTCTAGTTGGTCTCCTTGTAAGCATTTATTAAAGCAGTGCAATATCTCAGTGGGCACTTCACATTAATATCATGTGCAAATTTGAGGACAGTCTGGTCTTGTGATTCTTACTCTGAATCAGCCAAAAATCACAGGTTTTTTTAGAAAGGTTAGGACTCGTAATTCCAAACATCCCTCTATTTTGCCATCTGATCTGCTCTCTGAACTCTAACTGAATATCTATCAGTAGATCCCATATTGACTAAAGGGATCTTAGATAATCACTCAAATAAAGATACTGGGGCTCAGTTCAGTGCTCTAAGTATAGACTTTAGTGCCATTTGTGATGATGTAGGGGATCCTGCCAGGCCTCCACAAACTGCTGCAGAGGGGCACAGGTCTTATACAGTTTCTGCATTGGATTTTCTAGTCTTGTGAGAATATTTCAGGTGCACAGGCCCCTCTCTGTAGCCATATAACCTGAGATACCTTAATCTGTGAGGAAGTACTTGTAACTCAGGTTATATAACTAAACATATCTTCAAACAGATGGCTCAGCAGCATCCATTTGTCTGATTTATGGGGAACTGTATATGTTGTCCAAGTGTGAGTAAAGGGATGTGCTTATCAAATGCTAGAAATCTGCACTGTGAATGTAGAACTATTGCACAGCTATGTGACAAGTGTGATTGGTAGTGGCTAAACTGGTAGAAACAAACCATCTTACTGTGTAAGCATATCCAGAGGAGATAAAGGCTGCATTACAGTATGAAGATAGTAATGAGGTAGCTGTAAGGATCGCGAATGTTACACAATCATAATGCTATACAAGCAGAAACACATTTTCTATCTGTAGAAATAGGAAAGTAGAACAGGAATGTTCTCGCTACACTGTTCTTTTAGAAACATAGCAATAGCTTTAATCCACCTCCCTTTCATCCTCCTGGTTTGCCACTAACTCATTGCTTACCATGAATGAGCGGCTTTCAGAGCTTGTCGTCTCTCATTAAGACCATTAGCAATTGCCTCAGTGGCATCCATTGGATTGGGAAAGAAAAACTTGTTTTGTGTCATGTCTTACATGGCTTTTGTTTGTGAGAGGTGGGCATGCCTGAGCTGAAGCCATATCAGAGAAGCCACTGCCCATGATAGCAGGGCATAGGATTATTTTCAGGTAAACAGGACCAAGGTCTACATCTATGCTGGCAAGGATTAAAAAAAAAATAGGGTCTAGGGCTCAACTGCTGTGCTCCAATTGTCCAAACTGTTTAGCTATTATCATTCTTCCTTCAAGATTTGGACAGTTAGGATTTCACCAGACAATTCCTGAGCTTGGCTCAGAGGACAGCACAGGTGTGGAATTTTTCCTAAAAGGTAGTTCCCTGCTCCCCATCCTATGAAATAACACTCAGCATCTTGGCCAGAGAGTAAGGGCACTGTGGCCTGTTTGATTCATCGAATTGAATGTAGTGTAGCATACCTCAGCCCTCTAACTTCTGTCCCTCCCTGGTACAGATCAGACATTTCCCTTCATATTTTTGTTGCAATTCCTGTCAAAACATGGAGATGCTACCCTAAAGTCTACTAGTGCTCAAGAAGAACATTTTATACATCTTTTTGATTTAAAGGTTTTGGGGGGAGTACATTTTAACCATATCTTTCTACTTCTCATGTCAAGTGCTTTCTTGCCAGTGGTCGCTCTCTCAAGGCCTAAAAGCTCCAGTGGGATCAACAGAGAAACATGTTAACTTCTCCTCCCTGCCAGTGATGTTGGGTGTAACAACAGCTTGCTTCCAGAAGAGAAATCTGAAAGTCCTCAGAAAGTGGGTAAGTCTGAAATGGTTAACCATTTCAAAGTCTATTTAAGTTCTGTCGTGCCTTTTAGGTGATCTTACCAGTATTGGGATCTCACTTCAGAGACACAAGAAGAGTGAGCCTACAGCTTTAGTAAACTAAAGAAGGTGCATTTTCAAGATGAGAAGTGAAATTCAGAAAGACGATTTGTTCCAAAAAGAAAAAAATAAAATTATCAGCAAGTGGAAACCTGTGGTAAAGATACAGCCGGGAATTACAGGCAACTCCCTTCAAAATCCAGTTAGTTCAGTAATTCCCTTTCCCAGTACTAAAACCACCACCTGAGAAAGCTGTAGCCAGCGGGATAGTAAATCAGTACTTACTGCCCCTGCGACTGCAGCGAGTCCCCTTGTTCAGCATCTTGGGGAGGATGGCTGTAAGGGAGCTATTGCCTGGAATGAAGAAGAGAAATTTCTGAGTTGAGGCTGTCTTCTTTTCTGCCTAAACCTCAAGTATCCTGAAACTGCAAAGGGCTGAAGTAGCACTTCAGCAACTTGTCAGGATTATCCCCAAGACTTTTTTCCTTCTGGATAGCATATCAAAAAGTTTCAGATGTGGAAAAGAGAGCAAGATTCCCAGGACCTAATAATTGACTTAATTCCTATCCAGAGCACAGCCTAGGGGTCCTTTCATACACCTTCACACCTGCAATTCTGTGGGCTGGGGAGGAGGCACAGGGCAGGAGGGACAGGGATTTAGGAGAGAACATTTTGGGTAGAGCATGATATACAGCCTGTTCTTCTACCCCCCAAAGCCAAATTTTGAAGACTTTCTGATCTCTTAATCAGACATATATCACAGCATTGTCTAGAGACACCCTGGTGAACAACATATTGCTTGGAGTTAGAGATGGCCTTTGAGAAAGATCTTTTAGGTGTGTTCTCCAGAACATCACATCATTGTTCTTCAACACTTTCTTCCATTTCCACTTGCACTGCTGGATCTGAGTTTCCTCTTGCTCATAGGAGTGTGCAGAAAAGTAGATTCTGGAATGAAGTGGTTGAGGGAGAAGTTTTTGGTGAGAAGGTGATAGCATAGAGATTTGCCCATCCCATCCCTTTGTTGGGGGGACCCATAACAATAATAGGAGTTTTTTCTCAGATCTTAAGAAGCTTCTACTTAATTTTAGGCTAATTGTTATTGGGGTGAGAAAAAGGCACATTTTTGATTAAATGTCTTATTCCAGACCAAGAAGATTCTGCAACTCTTCAACACATGTCCTTTGCTTGGATTTGTTTTTAGTAAGGTTCTTGAGTTTTTTTCTTAATTTTTTTTTTCAAAGTATCTTTTCATAAAACTAAATTAAACGTGCAGAGAAGGGAGAGAAAATCAGTTTGATATTTGCAATGAAGCATAAGACATTTCACTCTGTTACTTCAACTTAAAAATGGGAATAGGTAAAGGAACAGAAAAAAGGTCCTGGAATATAGTGGATCTATGAGTCATCTCTAAGAACCACTTCCAGAAAAACTCCCTTCCATCAGTTCCTTTTTAAATAAAAAGGAGCAGAAGAAACACTTTCATATTTCACTGGATTAAGTATGCAGGAGGAATACCGTGGGAATAAGTTTAGACATATTAAGAACTCAAATTCAGACTCCTTGATGTTAACATCTTTTCTTGCCAAGACAGACATTTTTTCTGGGGATGGGATGGAAGTCCTTGCTATACACATATGCAGCTAACACAAAACTCTTTTTCTAGCTCTGATGCAATTTGGACAAGAGGGTCTAAGTGGAGCGCACTGCATATATTTTCCGCTCCTTGGTGATCAGAAGGAATTAAATTAGACTAACATCCCTTCCTCCCCCCTTGAAATGGGCTGATGGATGAGAAAATGGGAGGTGGTTGAGATGAGCACTTTGGTTTATTTGGTCCTGACAGTTATATGATGTGGGTATCTGTGGGATGAATAGGAACCCCAGAGACTAAGATGAAAAGACAGAGGACTCTACATCCCCAGAAAAATGGTTTCTCTGGGTGCTCAGGGCACCAGAAGTCTGACATATTCACTGTACTTCTGGTAGATAATTCAACAGAGAAAGACAACATTTAAGGTGCAGCAAATTCTGAGCTCTTGTGCCATCTGAAGGGAGAAAATGATGAAAAAAGTGCACATGGTCTTATAATGGATCTTGGTCTGATGTGAATATGGGGAGGATGTGGACATGCCATCTTCCAGTATTGTCTGCTGTGTAGCCACATGTGGTTACTGCCAACATGACACATAGGCACTGCTTTTTAGTGGTGCCGTGATCCATTGCATGGGGGGACGTGTAGAATGCTCACTTATATTTCTTTCTGTCCTGTACACCAGATACTGGTTTTAAGCAACATTCAAAAACATTTGTTGATGGTTCTATTTTTACAGTGTTTCGGTCTTGCTTAATATACTAAAATCACATGAAAACTGAGCCACATACAGCTATTTCCAAACCGTGTGTGTCATGGTCTGCACAGTATGTGAAAATGATAGCAGTCATTGTATCTTTCAAGCTCAGTAACTCAGGCATCAGAAGACCCAGATGTATTTTTTTTTCAAATTCTAACTAGATTTGTAATGCACCTGGTAAATATCTGCCCTTTCAGAAACACAATTTCACTTCTGCCAAAATAAGCATTAAGAATACTAATGCAGGTCAAGTAGTTTACTGTTGGTATGAGCAACAGCATAAGTAACCCATAATTTGAAACTAAAATGAATAATGAGTAGCTGCCATTGTATGATTTAAGACTCTCTAAACAAAACAGAAGGCAGTAGGGAAATCCAAGAAAAAGGTTCCTGAAAAGACAAAAGAAAAGAATGTCACAGCTGAGTTGCTTCTTTTCTTGCTTTAGCAGTGACACTGAAGGGGGGAGAGCAACTGCAGAGGTGAGTGGAGCTTCCAATAAAGGATTGGAGAACCTATAAATCCAGACAAGAACAAAGAAGCCCAGAATCTCTGCGTGAGCACTTCTGAGCTGAAGGAGCTGAATCTGAATGAAGTATACTACATCCAGTTTCCCACGTCTCCTGGGATAGCTGGTCAAAAGACTGGTAAGACCCTGTTAACAGAATACGTAGAGTCAAATTTGCCACCATATGTAGACAAATTTTTTCTCTGAACAGTGCGCACCGTGCTGTTCTAGTCTGTTTTAAGCTGTTTCTAAGTTGAATGGCTAAAGCAGTCTGGGACAGGGATCAGTGTCTAGAAAGGCTAAGTTGAGCTCTGGCTTTTTCATGGACTTTATGTGTGTTGGGACAAATAATTTGATCTCCTGTAGCACAATGATTGTTAATATCTTAACAGAGGAAGCAAAGTTTATGCTTTTGAAAGAAAAGTAGGAGCACTGGAGTCCTGCAGCGTCCTTGACCCAGGAAAGGACAAGGATCTGTGTTTATTGTACAGTTGTACTATTCACTCTGTTTGTCCCCTTTTATTTGTCTCTACAGCTGAATTTCAGTTCATACTGGAGGCATTCAGTGAAGTACGTTTTTATTATATGCTTCAATTCAGATCAAAATGTTAAAACACTATAGGGAAGCAATCTTTATTCTTAGCCACAGAGAGGAAATGCATATACCTGAAAAGCCTGTCCTTGTGAAATGTTTACAGCACTTTTGCAGAGGCAAGAAATTTAAGTACTGAGTGCTTTGTCCTGCAAAGAGACTGCCATTGAATAATAATTAGTCCTTGCAAGGTAAATAAATCCAACTCTCCTTCCCTGCATGCCAAATAGAGCCTTATGGTTTCAGGATGCCAGGATGCAGCTCAGGGTCCAACAATATGCCACCCTAACATCTACAGTGTGTGGATGTCAGCAGTCCTGAAACACTTGTGTTCCTCTGTCTCCCACATAGTTAGGCACAAAATTAGGTCATCTTGTTTCTGTTTGGCATTGTTATTTTATTAACAAATGCTGTGTCCTTTCCTTACCACAAAAAAAACCCCAACAACTACTTCTGCTACTGAAAACTGACATTACAAAACAGGGGAGAGGAAGGTTGATACAAAAATGAAGCTCAACAAAGCAACTGTATCAAAAAAAGGTGTTCTGAATCTGATTGATAAAGACAACAGTGTCGCTATGTTCATCTTTCTTCCAAAATTTTACCTTAAATAATTTTTAATTGATTTAAGTCAAAGTTAAAATATGCATAAAGTACAATTTACCAGTGTACAGACTTTACCCATTTTTACTGTCACTTGGCAACATTTTCAGCTGATATAATTGTTGTAATTGGTCTGTCTATGGATTTGGAGTTGTACTTCTGGGAGAATAGGTAGTGGGTCTTACTTGGGTAAAACAGAACATGGATTAAGTAAGGATGGCAGAACTGGCACCTTAAGGAGCCCCTGAATTTTTATGTGGATTTCTTGGATTTACTATTGTATTTCATAGTAATAATTTTCCAATTAAATTTTCTGCAACACCATTACAGTTGTATCTCACTTTAGTCTCTGATAGTGAAACAAGAAAGGGATTTTACTCTCTTGTGTCCAGTTCTGCTTGCTTTACCTCTTGCAACAACTATACTGAAATCATGAAGACTCATACTAGTGAGGTAAACGTGAGTTGTCCCATAAAGCTTGGTTATAATACGTAAGTATTAAATAATAGTGCTTAGTACTTACGCAACTTAATGCCGTATAATCTTTGAAGCACTTTAGAAATCTTAACTAGTTAATCCCCACAGCAGTTCTACATGGTAGGTTATGAAGGCCGGACATTAAAAATCTTCCACAATATGAGCTTGCTTTGCACACTAAGCCTATGTGAAAAAATACCTGCAGTTATGTCCTCAGAGTCATGAGTGTTTAATTTTACTAGACTGTAACACGCCTTACTTTCAATAAATTACTTCTGCTTTCTTATCCCATTCCAGGGAAATCCATTATAACCTGCAGTATGGCTTAGCACACAGTATTACCACAATTTTGAGGATATTTTTTATTATTAAAACTGCTGGAAGCAAATAAGCAGAGAGTTTGAATTTTTCTTTTTTTTTTTTTTAAGAAATCAAGTTTCTAGTGCCAATGATTACAAAGAAATTGTATGAAAAGGGTCAGAAAGTCTCTAAAGACCGAAGCACTCAGGAGAGTACCATTTTTAGGTTCTTGTTTTGAAAATCTGAGTTTTGTGACACTGAGATTGACTGGCAAAAAAATATGCTTATGCTCAATTTCACTGGGGAGCTTAGGCCTTCAGAGAACCCCCTTCACTTAGGAAATAGTATGTTTTTCTAGCTCAAATGTTCTTTGACTTTTCATGTTCCAGAAAAAAAAGAATATTGAATAGTTATTGCTTTAGCCTATTTCGGGTTTAAAATTTCCCATGAAGTGGAAAGACTGCTTTTAGTCCACTGTAATAATGCTAGCCTACTGGTAATGTCACAAACACCACTGGTTCTAGTTTTTCTTAGTTCTGCTGGAAAACTTTTTGAAACAACATTACAGTTTGAAAGTAATGTTATAATTCTATGGGAAGGCTAAAATCACCAACCAGAGATGTAAATTATTAATTAGCTCATGATTACATCTCAAGCACCTCCATAGAAAATAAACCTCTGAAATGTGTTTATTCTTTGTAATACCTAGAATGGAGAGAAAACAATGGCTTTGACTGGTGAGACCTTCTTCCAAGAGAAGCAGATAGTAAGTAGAGTTTTTGTCACAAATAGAAAAAAAAAATCAATTTTCCAGGTTGTCTACTGAGACAGTGCAGCATTATTTATAAATGCAGTACAACCTTTCCCCTCCAAGACATCAGGCAACTTAATGCCTGCCTTTTGTTGTCATCTACAACTGTCTCTTTCTGTAAAGCTTGTAATTTGAGAGCAGATCTTCTGTAAGAAGGAAGCTCTATGATATCATGAAGACTGACCTCAATTCCTTATTTTCCTCCTGCTTCAATTTGGAAACCTTTGTTTCCTTGGTTTTTATTCTCTTTCTTCCTGTCTTTGTTTTCATTCCTTTTTGTTTCATTTTTTCTCACCTTTGGATAAAAATCGCAAATAACCTTTGAAGGAATAATTAGCAATCTCTGTGACTCTATGGTAAAAACTTTTACCTGATTCACTACTGAAGTGGTTATCTAAGGGTAAGAGTTTCAGACAGACAAGGGAAAGAGAAATTTCCACATAACAGATGATAAGGGATGAACAGAAAAGAGACCCTAGAAAGTAAAGGAATGAATGGATGGGAACACAGGAGGAGATGTAATTAGCCAGTCTCACGTGCTTGTGACTACCTAATTTCAAATGTTCCAAGTGGAGCCTGGTGTTCTGCAGACAAGCTTGTAATTAAGTACAGGGTTGCAAGGCACATGCACAGAAGATCCTGAATTAAGGTTTCATGGGTAGCCTTCTGGCTTTCCCAACTGTTGGTCACTTAATTTAGTTACCTAAATCCTCTTTAATATAGAAAAAAAATGATTTTGATGAGGTCTTTTAATTGTTTAGGGAGGGGGGGTTGTTAAGGACTGCAATTTATTATGTGATTGTAGATGCGTAGTACTTCAAAGGAAAAAGTATTCTATTTTCATTCTGCATAAATTTGTATACCATGCTGAGACCTTAATACCTGTGGGGTTTTTTTCCTGAAGTGCATTAAGCTACACGACTAGCATCTATTTCAAATGCATCAGGAGCAGGAAGCCTGCCAGAGAACCTACAGGACCAGTAGACAATCATGGTTTTAAAGAGCATCCAGAAAAGATTAGGTTGTAAGGGGAACGGCTGCATGAATTCACCACGAGGAGTTTTAAGAGACTCTACATCAGAATATTTTTCTAAGAAGGTTAAATCTGAGGCACTTGTTTCAAACTGAAGAGCTTTTAAAACAAGTCAATAATTATGTCAACAAATAACATAGACCAGATGGTATTCACACTTGAGGAATTTTTAGGAAACTCAGGTATGACGTTACAGCAGATGCTGAACTGTGAACTGTTATGTGTAGCCTTTTGCTGAAATCAGCTTGCTACCTGAAGGCACAATAAGGCAAATATGATGGCATCTTGCAAAAAAGGTATCTGAGAGAATCTGGGAATGGTAGACCCTAGTTTGTCTGCACCAGTCAATTTAGCTGACATTACGTTACAGAATTAAATTAGCAGACATACATGGAAGTATGGAATAACAGGAACAAGCTGACACAATGTTTGTGAAGGACAGTCATGTTTTATAGATCAGACAAAGCTCTTTGAAGGAGTTAAGAAGGTTAATTATGATTTACCCAACAGTCTGGACTGTTGAATGCCTTGGTAGTGAACACCAAGAGTTTAATCGTTACTCCATGACTTTGCTATATTTAATAGAATATTAGGTTCATATGTTTTCAGTGTAGTTTTTCTCAGCTTGTTATTACAATTTTCCCTATTGTTTTTTGTTGTTGTTTGTTTCTTTTGTTGTTATTTGTGTTTATTTGTTGTTTTGTTTGCTTGTGTTTTTTTTTTTTTTTTTTTTTTTTTTTAAGTTCAGGTGGGATTGTCAAAATAAAAGCAATGCATATTCCCGAGTAATTTTGGCAGTTCTGAAAATCCCATCAGCACACAGTCATGTTCCCCCTATTTCCCCATAATCCTGTCTCCAGGTACCTTCAAAGCCGATTCAAGCAACAGGCTACATAAAACAGTAAATAGTTCGGTACCGCCAGTACTTTGTGCAATGCTGTGCAGAGTTCCCTGCCTGTCACACTGGCTCGTATTGTTTCATTGCATTCTTCTTTATCTGTATCTCTTATACATAATTTATAAGGTCTTGGGACAGGAGTACCTCTTCAGATTCTGTTTATAGCACTAATGGTGTCAGGGTCCTGGTGCATGGCTGGGGTTCTGCGTGGGGTTCTGTCTCATAAACACCTATAAATATATGAAAGTATAGAAACCATCTGCCATTTTTAGACTGCTTTAATCGGAATCGGTGCTGGAGTAGGAGGGAAAAAAGATTATTCACCCTCAACACTCTCAGGACGGGAAGCCTTGCAGGCAGGACCTAGTCACAAAGGTTAGCTTGGAGCTTAACCTTTAAACGAGCCTGGCTAATCCTCCTTGCCCGCTTTTATCACCAGCAGAGACAGCACGGCTCCCATCCACCTCTGTTTAGAGGAGCTCGGGCACCCTGCTGCGCCCCCCCTGCCTTTGACAGAGCACCCCACTCCCACCATCATCCCCAGCAGCAGCATCTCCTCCAAGAAGACGCCCAAGGGATGAGACGAGACCGCTGGGGGAAGAGTTAACCGGGGGAATCGATAACCCGGCCCTTCTCCCCCGCCTCCTGCGGGGAAGGGGGGGGGGGGCAGGATCGGGAGCCGTGCCGCGGGGGGGGGCCCCCGCGGAGGGGCGCGGGGAGGGCGAAGCCTCTCTGCCGGGGGCCACCCCCGCGGCCCGGCCCGGCCCGGCCCGGCGCGGCGCGGCCAAGCGCCGCCTCCACGGCGGGATGCAGCCGCCGCCACCGCCCCGCGGGTGCAGGTAAGGAGCGGGGGGGGGGGGGGCGGAAGGTGGCCACGGTGCTCGGGAGAGGGGGGATAAGGACAAAAGCCCCCCCCCCGCTTTCGCCCCGGGCTGGCTTTAAGGGAAAAAAAAAAAAAAAAAAAAGAACACAAAAGGGGGGGGAATAATAAAAAAAAAAAAAAAATCCAAAAAAATAAAAACCCCAAACCACCCCAAAAAAAAGCGCCGCTGAAGGCTGGCGGCGGTGGATTTTTTTTTTTTGCAAATTGAGATGATGCCCTTAAAAAGGCTGCACGCCGAGTCTGAAGTCGCCTCTGGGGCGCTGACCCACTCCGGGACGGAGGGATTTTGAGATTCAACTAATTTTTTTTACCCCCCTCCCCGTTTTAAGTGGATGGAGCCGAGGCTTGCAGACCTGGGAGCTAGCACGGATGCTGGCGCTGGTGGTTTTGGCGTAGCAGTTGGGGAGGGTAGTTTTAAGAGACGTGGGGGGAATTTGCAACAGAAATGCTAAGTTTCTCTGTGGTCGCCTGATTAATTAAAAATGAAGTACGCGCTGTGCATTGGCAAACAGTCCTAAGCAATGATCTGGAGCAATCCTAAAATGTAATAATTAATAATATTTTTTTCTTCCTTTCCTAGAAAATTCGAAATACCTAGGTATTGCCTTTGTAAACCCACATAGAGCCCTCAGTGTTGCAGAGTGTTCACTGCTTAATGAATGTTTGTAAAGGGATTTTCATTCCCACTGAATGTCAGTGGGAGCAGCCAGAGCTCAGGGAGCCAGGTGACCTGCTCCTTTTCTTTTGCAAAGAAAGAAGGAGCAGAATTACTTCAGCAGCACCGCTGCGTTGATGTAGTGCACAGGATGACATTCCCTGCTGATATAGTTGTTCAGGTGAAGTGTGCTTCTGGAGTTTATGATTTTGAGCATGAAACTTGAGAAACAGATAAGGAAAACATGCAGCAGTCTCTCCATGAGCAATAGAAAAGGTCCTCTTGGGACTTTTTAATGCCCCATAATGGAAAACCCAGGGGGCTGGGTTTCATTTTTGTAACTCGTTTTCAGTCTAGTATGTCTATATATTTATTTCAGTTATATATGCTATTTATAGAGCATGTCTTTGAACCAGTGCATTTTTATTTACCGATTTCCTTCTCACATCGTGTGTTTGTAATGGATTGCACACTGAAATATTTTAGTGGTGCTGCTATTGTTTAACTTACAGAGATGTGCATTTTGGACGAATTAGGTACACGTAGGTTGCTGTGGCTGTGCATTTTAATATCACCTCTGGCAAGGAGATCTTCAAAGGCATAAAACGTTTTCAGACATATATATCATGCTAAACTGAACTTGGTGAGAAGAAAAAATACAAGTAACTTTTCATAATTTTTTGCATTTTCTAAGGTAAAACAGTCATAAATCCACAACTGAAGTTATAAAGCAAATTCAGAGTTTGAAATCAGCTCTGTATCAAGGGATAAACACTTCCCATGCAAACACTCCGATTTGCAGGTATTCTGCCATCTATTCCGGATGGATGAATCAGAATCTGGGATGGTACAAACAGCATAAGGCTCTCTCCTAAAAAATGTTATGTGCAAAGTGCTGCCTTTAGTTATTACTGATAGGCTACATGAGATCAGTAAGGTGCTTTACAGTGCATAAAGTTAAGCAGATGTTCGTGTCTTTGCAGTGCCAGGATCTACCTGGGTGTGTTTATGGGTAATAATAGATACAGAATAATCCTGTGTGGCAGAAAACCATGGTTTGAGGGTGGCACATCTCTTTAATTTATAAAGATTAAAGAGATTGAAAAAACACTTTGAACTTTTATATACTTATGAAGTAATTCTAAAATAATTTTTAAATGAAAGAATGAACTTTTGTTTACAAGTGCTTAACAGTAAAGACACTGGTTCTTTAAATGTTATGTATGTACCTTCATAAATGGAGATAGAAGTATCAACTGAATTACTGGGAGGAAAAAAGTCTTAACTGTTGAAAAATAAAATAAGTATTTGTGTCATAGCCAGGCTTTATGTAATTGACTAAATGTCATGTGACACAGAGTCCTGCCTGTTTTTTTTCTCAGACAAGTTTAGACGTAATACAGTTGGACCAAAAGCACTGTATGTTTTGGTTTGTGTTTTGCTGTTAAAAGATACTCCATTTTGAAGAAAACTTTACATTTAGATC